TTAACAGACAGGAAACAACACATGTTGGAGAGGATGTGGAGAAAGGGGACACCCTTGCACTGTTGGTGGGAATGTGACCTGGTGCAGCCACTCTGGAAAACAGTGTGGAGGGTCCTCAAAGAGTTAAAAATAGATCTGCCCTACGACCCAGAAATTGCACTGCTGGGTATTTACCCCAAAGATACAGATGCAGTGAAACACTGGGATACCTGCACCCCGATGTTTATAGCAGCAATGTCTACAATAGCCACACTGTGGAAGGAGCCTTGGTGTCCATCGAAAGATGATGGATAAAGAAGCTGTGGTCTATGTATACAATGGAATATTCCTCAGCCATTAGAAATGGCAAATACCCACCATTTGCTTCGATGTGGAGGGACCTGGAGGGTATTATGCTGAGTGAAATAAGTCAATCGGAAAAGGACAAACATTGTATGGACTCATTCATTTGGGGAGTATAAAAATTAGTGAAAGGGAATAAAGGGAAAGGAGAGAAAATGAGTGAAAATATCAATGAGGGTGACAAAACATGAGAGGACCTAACTCTGGGAAACGAACAAGGGGTAGTGGCAAGGGAGGTGGGCGGGGGGTTGGGATGACTGGGTGACGGGCACTGAGGGAGGCACTCGGTGGGATGAGCACTGGGTGTTATATGTTGGCAAATTGAATTCCAATTAAAAAAAAAACAAGGAATAGGGTAGTATGCTGATAACTTACTGCTCAAAACAAAAATACGTTTTATTATGTCTCATGGTTTCAGACAGGGCACAGTGAGGACAAGTTATCTCTCTTTCCATATCTGGGGCCTCAGCTGGAAATCATCAACACTGGGGGCTGAGATCATAAAGTTTGTAAATGCAGTATCTGAAGGTTGCTTTTGGCTGGGGGCCTAGGTGGTGCCGTCAGCTGGAAGACTGTCACATGGCCATACATGTGCCATGAACTTTATCACAACATAGTAGCTGGGTTCCAATGGCAAGTAGAGAAGGGGAGGGAGGGAGGGAGGAAGAGAGAGAGAGAGAGAGAGAGAGAGAGAGAGAGAGAGAGAGAGAGAGGCCATGTTGCCTTTTATGATAAGCCTGTCAATCACAGTGTCCTTCCATTGGTTGAGGAATTTACAAAGGTCCATCTGCATTCTAGGAGAGGGAACACTGACCCCACCTCTGAATGGGGAGGCATGTCCAGGCCACATTGTGAGCATGTGGATTGGGACATACATTGGTATGGCCATCTCGGGAAAATACAATCTGCCATAAGGGGGTTAGCAGGAAGTATGGGGAATGAAAAACACTGGGTAATATATCACAATATTATTTTGTCCCATTTGGTCTGCAGCAGATGGTCATCATCCAACTGTGCAGGTGTGGCCAAAAAGAAGTAAAGCATGTATTGATGGAGAATCAAACTGTGAGTGATGGATTTTTTTTTTTTAGAAGAATTTCTCTTCGTAGAGTATTTGTGTGCAGCTATTTGTGTTCCACTAAGGAGCAATGTTACCAGCTATTTGTGTCCCACAGAGAAGTGAGCTTTGCCCTACACATTTGCAAAGTAGGTGTGGTTATCACTCCAGCCCCTCGTTCTGTTTGTTGCCCTTTCTCTACTTTCCCCAGGGACTGAGTTTGTTTATGTTGAATTTTCCCACTCGCATCAGCAATTCCTGCCCATTCCCCCTTCTTTCCTTTTCCATATCATAATCTAATGGTTCAGCCTTTTGCTGGGGAATTAATTGGGTTATCATGTCCTTAACTAATAATAGCTTTTTTTCCCCATGAATTTTAACAGCTGCCTAATTGAAGTATCCAAATGGAATAACTAATAATGAGAAACTTGGGCTTTTAAATCCTGACTGCAAGGCTCAAGGATGAGACCAGGGTGGGGTGCGCAGAAGCAGCTCAATAGCTCCTAATCATGCCATGAGGATGCCCATCTGTGTGGCCTGCACCCAGGGCTGACCTGCTTTCAGGAAGCTTAATTAGCAGGATGAGAAGAATTGCCTCTTTTCCATGCTTGGGTGAAGACGTTGATGTAGCGGAATAGTAGAGCCTAGCTACTCTCCTCTTTATTAGTATATATATTTTAAATGAAATAATTTTATTATTTTATTCTGGTTATAAAATGAATTCATGCCTACTTTCAAAAATCTACACATTTCTGGAATGTACAGAGAGAAAAGAAAAAATTGTATGAAAACTTTCCACCCAGATTTAACTCTTATAACATTTTGGCAAATGTTCTTACATATATTTCTATATGCATGAGTACCTAGAGCTATATTTATATATGACTTTGTTTATATATCATGCTCTACATCCTATTCTGTATCCTGTTTTGTTGCATTTTCATTCAATAATAGTTATTTTCCCATGTCAATTAATATAGATCCACATCATCATTTTTATTGACTGCACAATATCCCTCTGTGAGACATACCATAACTTATTTAACTAATTCTATCGAACAACATTTATGCCTATTGCAATTTTTTGATATTATAATCAATGCTCTGAAAAATTTTCTTGCACATCCATTTTTACATACTTATTCAAAAATCTCCTTGGTATAAATTCCTATACAGAGAAATTGCTAGGAATTTCTTTTTAAAGAGACAATAGGAAGCCCTGAGGGAAAGAAATCTGAGTGAGTAGCCTAGTTCCAGAGAACTCATGGAACAAATATACATAAAAGTCGATAGTGTGTCAGGAGCTTGATCTAGACAGCTCAGAATGCAAATATTAAAAAAAAAATCTTCAAGAAAATCTAACTTAGTGTGGAAAATAGACCCTTATACAAATAGTTACTACAATAAGATCAAATTTCCAGGAGAAGTATGAAAAAAGCACAATGAGAAGGATTAAAAAAAAAGCTATCAAATCTGAGCAAGAGAAGTGGAAGTAGAAGAATTAGCAGAGAAAGCAACAAGTGAGCTGAATCCGTGGTTGGGCCCCTCTAGAGAGGTGACATTTGAGTTCAGGTCTTCATGAAGTGGTGAAAGGAGGTTGGTTGAGATTAGGGACAAGTATCCTAAACTGGGAGCCTGGCCAGTGCAAAGGTCTTGAGGGGACAATGGAAGTGGCTAGTCAGTGAGAAGGCTGGAAAGCATACAGAGCACAACAGCAGAAGCTTTAGTAGTTTCCTGAATTGTACCAGCATGTTCACAAAGCAGCTCCTGGACACATACAACAACTTGGTTCATGCTAGAATGTTTTAAGTGTTAAGTACTGTTTAAAATACTGTTGGGTTGGCTATAGTTTAGATTCTCCTTCTTAGACCCTCTCCTCTCTTTCTTTTTGCAAGGTTGGGGTTGGTTACAGCATTTTTTTTTTTTAAAAAGGAATTGTATCTACATTTCATTAGGGCCAACAATGTGAAAAAAGTCTTATAAAGGTGTCTTTATCACATATCCTTTTTTTTTAAGATTTTTATTTATTTATTTATTTATTCATGAGACACACACACACACACACACAGAGGCAGAGACACAGGCAGAGGGAGAAGCAGTCTCCACGTAGGGAGCCCGACGTGGGACTCGATCCCGGGTCTCCAGGATCATGCCCTGAGCTGAAGGCAGTGCTAAACCACTGAGCCACCCGGGCTGCCCCCATCACATATCTTAATGCCCAATGCTGGATAGAATCCCGCCCTAAAACAAATATGAGTATGACAGAGAATTGGATAATCACTAACGGTTGAAAAAAACTAAGATTATTGATACAGCCCTATAAAATCTGCTTTAAAAACTACGGTATTAAAAGGGAGCCACAAACAATTTCGGCCACCTATTATGAGGTGAGTACATGTACCAGTCTTAATTCGTTTTCTCAGCAATCCCGTTACTAACACCATTTTGCAGCTGTAGAAACTAAGGATTGGAAGCACTAAATAGCCTTGTCCAAGGTCAGGCTAGCAAATGCCAGAGTTAGGATTTCAAGTCACGTCTGCTGCCTCCTGTTTGGAACTCCTGTCACTGTACCATGTCAGTCTTTAGTGCTATGCCTCAACATACATAAAGCCATGCTGTCATGGGCTGAATAGAGAGGCAGTCCTTTTAAGAAAGCAAACAACTTCCTCGAGAAAGAAGCCTCAAAGCTTTATCTCTTGACTGTCAGACCCACCTATCTATCTGAATGTTTTGGAAGAGCCTGTGCCTGGCTCAGCCATTCCTCCCTTCCCAAAAGAATTCTCCAGAGGGTCTGGCAGCAGAAGGAGACCGGGGAAGTGGCTGGGTCAGCTGGGTATGATTGAACACTGCGCCAGTATCGAAGACCTGATAAAAATCTGGGGCCTCTGGGCACTCGATTTTTATAGTAATCCTGTCAGTTCCCTAATAATAGTAATAAATTAACCAAACAGCGGATTCAGTGGTATTTTATGTCCTAAGGGTATTGCTTTCACACTTCAACTTGATAGCATGATTTATCAAGAGATAAATTACAGCTGGGAATGAATGGATTTACTGATGTCAGAGAGATGACAAGTATATTTCGAAGATGTTACCAGTGATGGGCATATACCTGACAAGCATACTTGAAAATCCCCAAACAAAAAGCTTCTCTTCAAAGGCTGAATAACTTTAATCTTCACTTTAGATGTAGGTTATTGCAAGGACAGAAGGAATTTGATGGTATAATTACCCGCCTTCCCAAATCATTATGACCTGAAAGTATTAATTACTTTGCTCTTTGGAGATGGGGTTACGTAGCCACCTCAAACCTCTTCTGAAGCCCATCTGGAAGATAAGTAAATAAATGAAGGTGGGGTCATGCTACTGTAAATGAATGTCTAACTGCCGGCTCACCCATCCTCCACTGCCAATCCGTCATGACTGCGTGTCATTCTCCTATGAGTACACATGACGCAGATAGAATTTTACTGTTGGATTTGTTTGCTGAGCAAGACGTCCTCATCCTTGGATGTCAGGGAAGGTGGAATTACTTCCAAGAGGTTGCTCAGAAGAGGAACAAAAACAGAAATGAGAAAGAGAGCCCGAGTAAAGGGTAGGGATGGCTTGGGCACAGGTTGAAAACCATCAAGGTCAAGCACAGCTTGCAGAGCTGTGCAAGGTGCTGGTCAGAGAGTTTTGTCTGGACCCTGACAGCAAGATCACCACCACGGGTGTGTGGGTCTCCCTCATCTGCCCACTGGTGAAGATGCGGCTATCAGTGCCCTGCCACCTGTGCCCATCTGCAGTGCCTTGACGCTGTCTTCTACCTCCAGATGAGTGAGAAGAAGCCCACCTGGATGTGTCCTGTGTGCGGCAAGCCGGCTCCCTATGACCAGCTCATCACTGACGGGCTCCTCTCCAAGATCCTAAGTGAGTGTGAGGATGCCAATGAGATCAAGTACCTGGTGGATGGCTCTTGGTGGAGGATGAGGAAGAGGATGAGGAGGAGGGCCCCTGGCCCAAGCAACAGTGTCTCTTCTAGAAGGTCCTGGTGTTGGCTTACTGACTGCTTGTGGCCGCCACCACCACCACCACCACCACCACAGACTGGATATTCGACTTTCCTGGTGCTCACCCACACAGAGGAGGCACAGGCGGGTCTTGGGGTACAGAAGGAGAAATGTTTTTTTTTCTTTTTATTGTTGTTCATTTTGTTTTTCCACCCCTTTCCCTGGCTCCTGGCACCTGTACCTCTGGAATCTCCTATCAGAGGATTAAAAAAAAAGTAAAGTGACCAAAAAATGTACCAAAAAAAAAAAAAAAAAGGAAATGAACCAAAACAGGTTTAGATGAGAGCTCCCTAGATGTGTGTGGAGATGGCCCCCTCCATACAGAGGCAGACTCACAAGTGTGAGCTGAGAAAGTACTCTGTCTTGTAAATCCACAGATACTTACAGGGCTGTCTCTAGAATGTGATTTTAAGAAAAGGCGTATTAGAAGAATTCTTGGTGAAGCATGTTCTAATGAATGTGTTCTTAAAGTCTTTTTTTTTTTTGAGTCTTTTATAAGAAGAATAAAAGTGGGCTTATTTTTGTGGGGAGGAGTGCTAAGGAGTAGGGTAGGATGTGTTAAGGACTAACCGTACCTTGAAGGAAAAATAACTCCAAGCTTGGGGTATTTACCTTATAAAAGAAACAAATTAAGGCTATGTTGAGCCTTGGACATTTAAAACATATTTTTAAAACAAATTTCAAAGTCTAGGGATTGTACAATTAACAAACATACATTGTATTCTGCTCAACAAATCAAAACAAAAAATTATTAGAAAAAGTAGATGTAGAAATAAGATTTAACTTCAGAAGCAAGCAAGCACATAAGCTCATTAATGAATAGTCCCACTCAAAAACAAATGGGATTTAAAACGCCCCCAGCCTTTGGATGGTTTAAAGCTAGCCATAACTACACAACTATGTACACAGATTAAAGAAAATGGTGCAATGCAGTTTCTCGTTAAATCCCTTTAAAGTTTTCCAATAGCCCGAAGCATCTTTCAAAATCCCAGGGAGGCGCTACAAAGGACTATTTTAAACCTCCAAATTCAGGGCACCTGAAGAAGTAAAAGTGCATGCCATATTCCCTCTTGAGGATAAACAGCTTTTCCATATATAAATTGTGAAGGCTGCGATAAACATGTAACACCTTCACATCACACAGTCTATGTGGATCTCGCTAGACTTGGGTAAAATTTTTTTTTATTGTAAAAATATTTAAGCTGCTTCATATATCTTTTATTTTTTCTGGCCAAATTCTGAGTAGATTTTTTTTTTCTGAGTAGATTTTTACAGGGAAAAAAAAAATCAAGTGTGAGACAGAACTCCTGGACTCTGGGGAGACATCTGGTTTTTCAGGCTGAGTCTCTAAGATGGGACCCCACCATCCTGGGCATCTAATTTCCAGATAAATTCTCCAATAAAGCCCTAGGAGCCAGATAAGTCTTTTTTTTTTTTTTTTAAGATTTTACTTATTTATTTCAGAGAGAGAGATAGAGCTCAAGTGTGAGCAGGCAAATGGGCAGAGGGAGAAGCAGACTCTCCGCTGAGAGGGGAGCCTGATGCAGGGCTCCATCCCAGGACCCTGGGATCATGACTTGAGCCAAACGCAGATGCTTAACCAATTGAGCAACCCAAGTGCCCCTAGAAGTCATCTTTAACATGCATTCTTCATGCTGTCTTTGAGAGTATGTCTACGGGGAAACATGTGAGGCAGAGCAGAACTGGGCAGAGGCTTAAATCCTTCTTAAATCTTAAATCTGACCTGAGAATCAGAGTTGTGGGTGTGGAGGTTGAGTAGGTCCAAAGCAACTGTTGGCCTAGATGCTCTTATGAACACCCACACTTCCAATGGATAACCTGTGCAGTGCTAATAATGGGAAGCGGGTCAACCCAAACTAAGTGTATTCAAATTAAGGTAGACAAAGAATCCAGATTTGGCCATCTATACTATCCATTTCTCCACATTCTGTCAGAAGTAGGAAGGGGGTGAACCTCTCTATCTCTTCTGTTATCACCCTTCCTTTGAGTCCCAATTTAGCCTGAGGGGTAGGAAAAGGGAAACTACTGGTAATATTTATTTTGTCCTACCCAGAAACAATTTTTTTTTTGGACCAAATGACACAATTGTTTTTGTTTTGTTTTAGACAGTGGCTTCAGTTTTTTTTTCTGTCTTCAGTTTGTTAAAGCAGAAGTTGCTATGAGTCACAAACTTGGCCTGCTTTATATTAACATTTAAATACATTACATTAAAAAAATTATACTGTGAGAATAAGTGGGAAAAAATGACACCATTTTTAAGGGAAGTATACAGACAAAAAAAAAAAACATGCACTTGGATGAATTTCTGCGAACTACAAACTGAATATCCCCATTCATGGAACAAACCACTCAGGTGAAGAAATAAAAGGAAATAAAAAGTTACCAGACCCCAGAAACTCTCTTCTTCTCCCCTCCATTCCCTGTCCTGACCAGGCTAATCATTGTTTTGATTTCTATTATCACTATTTGGATAGATTAATTTATTTTTAGAAAAAAATTTACTTTAAATAAATGGACTCATACAGTATCTACTCTTTTTTTTTTGTCTGTCTTCTTTCATTCAGCACTGACGTGGTGAGAGTCAGTATTGTTGGTAGTAGTAGTTCTTTCATTTTTATTGCTCTAGCATTTCACTGGTGAGCATGCCACAGTTCACTTATCCTTCCTACTGTGGATGAACATTTGGGTTGTTCATAGTTTTTGCCTATTATGAATAATGTTGTGTGTATTCTTGTATCTATCTTTTGGTGAACATGTGTACCATCTCTGTTGATTATATACTTAGGAGTGGAATTGATGGGCCAAAGAGTAAGCATATGCTCAATATTAGTAAATACTAAACAGTTGTCCAACATTTCCACTTAATCATGGCAATTAACTCTCTGGTCTGAGAGTTTGGGTTGCTCTGCATTCTCAGGACTTGACGTTTTAGCCATTCTGGTAGCTGCGGGAACAGCACCATTTCTGATCGTATACATTGTAAAATGTAGTAGAGTAAAAATAAAATAACATATATTTTTATGTTTTGAAGATTAAATAATGTCCCGAGAGAGACAAATAAGTGGATGACCTACCTCACTGGGGAATACTGGTGACAGATCACTTATGTATGAACAATGTTTTCAGGATATCTGCTTTTAATTATTCATTAAAAGATGTGCAGAATTGCTTTTTTTTTTTTTTTTTTTTTTTTTTTAGAATTGCTTTAAAATGTAGGATTGCAGAATTAAAAAAAATAAAACACTTTTTACTGTATTTTGTGTTTCATGGGCATTTTGAAGAATTGTGATCAATACCTGATTGCAGGCAGTTTGACTATGGGTTAATCTACATCAGCATAAAAAAAGTGCTGCAAAAGGGAGTCTGTTCATATGCTAAAGACTCTAAAGCATTTTCCCTGAAGTAATCTAGATTCCACTGTCATTTATTAATTCACCTTCCATTATTTCCACAAGTTCAAAGTTTCTGAAGGAAGTCCTCATGGTTGTTGTTTTGTTTGTTTGTTTGTTTGTTTTGTTTTTTGCATTAGAGCTGTTAAAATTTGTTGTTCATGACTCTAAAATATCTGGTTCTGTGCTAACCATGGAGCAACATCTGATCGTAACCATTCATTAGGAATGTATTTGGTGGCCATAACAAATTAATTGGCCAGAGGTAAATCAAACAAAGTCTTGCTTGCTTGCTTGCTTTTTTAGACAGAGAGTATGTGTATATATGTAGGGAGGGAGGAGGTTCAGAGGGAGAAGGAGAGAGACTCCTAAGCAGGCACCATGTCCAATGCAGGGTTTGATCTCATGACCCCTGAAATCATGACCTTTGCCAAAATCCAGAGTTGAATGCTTAACCAACTGAGCCACCCAGGAACCCCACAAAGTGTTTATTTCCCTCATATAATGAGAGAGATATATTTGCTGGCTTTAAGACTTATTTACCAGCTGGTTGTGGTTATTTATTGTTCCAGCTGCTCAGCAATATCTTTAAGCATCCAGCTTTCAGTAATTCTGTTGCATCATCCTTAATGCACCAACTTTCACACTTATGCTTGTTGCCTTGTGGTTTGTAAGATGGCTGCTATTCTTCAGACATTACACCCACATTTAAGGAGAAAAAAGAAAGGATGATTCCAGCTTTGTCTTTCTCATTTTTCTGGAAAGGTAAAGAGCCTCTAGAAGACTTCTGCTTCTACCTCTGTATTTCTTATCTATTGCTATGGAACAAATATCCTCCAAAACAGTGGCAAACAAAAACAACAATAATGAGACTACTGCACTCCTACAATTAGATGAAAACAAGAACCAAATAATTATTATTTTATAATTTCTATGGTTCAGAAATGCCATAGAGACTTAGCGAGATGGGTCTGGCTCAGGATCTCTCATGAAGTCCCAGTTAGGATGTCGGTAGGGGCTACAGTCATGTGAAGGCATGACTGGGCTTGAGGATCCACTTCTGAGATGGTTCACTGCCAAGATAGCAGTTGGTAGGAAGACTCACTTACCCACCACTTGGGTATCTCCATGGTCTCCATGTTGTATCCTTTCAACATGGCAGCTGGGTTCCTTCAGAGCAATCCAAGAGACAGTAAGGCAGAGATCACATTTTATAAACTAGCCTTGCAAGAGTCACACTGTCCCTTCCACCTTTTGAAGAGAAAATTACCAAAGAATTTGTGGACAATATTTTTAAGCCTCACTGCCTTGTTGGTCAAAACTGATTCACTTGTTTAGTGTAATTACAGTGCAGTCTGGGAAATGAATTTATCGTCAGAGGCTATGCCCATTCTTCCCTTGAAAGAACAGGAGCTACACTGGCAGGAAGAAAGGGGAAAGAAATACTGGGAATACAACAAGCTCGTGAATTTGTATGTAATGGAATTTTTGAGAACTTGACCAATTAATTCTAGAGTTTATCTGAAGGAAAGAGCAGCTTAGAATAGATACAAACAGTTTGAAAAGTAAGATTTTTTAAGAGTGAGAAGGGAATGACCAGACCTATGAGACTTCAAAATAATAAACCAGTAATAGACAAATGAATAGAAAACAATGTTTGGTACATAAATAGATGCAAATTTATAG